GTGCATCAGCCGTGTTGCATCTTGGTGCTCTGGATGTGCTCAGTCTTGCTGGGGCGTTCGTAGAGGTTGAAGCCCTGCCAGCGTGTCTCCTGTGGCTGGTGAGAGGTGGCGGGGGTCTGTGCCCTGCAAATGCCCGTCGCAGGTTGGCATCACCGTTGCGAGGGCTTTGAGTGTTGCTGGTGTGTGATGACGTCAGCCTGCAGAAGCCTGAAACAAGCTAAAAGAAGTTAATTTTTCCCACGGTGCATAATTAAGTAATGGCAGTGAGTTTAATGGGATGCTTTGAATGCCAGAAGCTTAGCTGCCTTCAAAAATCTGTGGAAGAAGAGTCCGTCGAGGACTACTGAACACAGATGAAACCACCCAGCTCAGGCAGCTGGGGGGTGCAGGAGCTGGGAGGGAAGACAATGGGGCGAAGGGTGGCTCTGGGGGACGTAGTCACCAGCTGGGTCTTCCTTGGGTGGTGGCCTTTCCCTGTCTCGCCCTCTATGGGGGGCAGGTTACTGCAAGTACCCCATTTTTTTTCAGCTTGCCCTTCTAGGAAACCTGGCTCCCGATGGAGCAGACTAACTGCGCTCCAAGTGTCACAAGCAGCTGAGCAACTGCAGGAGAAACAAGCTGGGGCAGAGAGCCGGGAGTGTTGTAAGCAAGAGGCAATTAAAGACCTAACTGTATTTCTTCACCGAGTCGTTTGAACGACTGCGCTAGCTTAATTCCCTGTACTTTCCGTGCATAAACAAGAGCAGAGGTTACACTTCCCTCCGCTGAGCGCTTGTCTGAGCAGCCTCATAACGTTTTGGTGTTGCAATGGGAGCGCGGAGCTAATCTCGCCGGTCTGGCAGGCGAAGCGTGGATAAACACTGCCGCGGCCCTGGCGCGGGTGCAACTGGGGACTGAATTATTGACCCCTCTAATGATCTTGGAAGTCTTGTAGCGCTCTGACTCACGCTTGTTGCATTAGAGACAGGTAACTGAGGCCTCTCCCTACGTGTGCTTTGTTGCAGACAAGGATGCAGAGCTTGCAGCCGGACCCCAAAGCCCAGTACAGGAGCGTGTACGAAGCTCTGAAGAAGATTGTCCTTACAGAGGGTTTCTGGAGGCCTTTACGTGGGATTAATGTCACCATGCTGGGGGCTGGCCCTGCCCACGCGATGTATTTTGCCTGCTATGAAAAAATGAAAAAGTCTCTAAGTGATACTATCCAGCACGGAGGAAACAGCCACTTGGCCAATGGTATTTTTGGTTTTTGCACAACCCCCTTCCCCCTCGCAGCGAGCAGCCTGTCCCTTGCTTGCCTGGCATCCTTCGCTGCGCTCTGCTCCTGCCGGACCTGCTGTAGGCAGCCTGCGTGTAAATACCCCTGCGGGAGGATGCAAGGGGCAAACGTGACCCCAGGCTTGCAGATTTTTGGCACTCGCTTCGGGAGTGCCGGAGAGGCAGGGGGAAGCCAGGTGGGCAAGTGGGGCGCCTGCCCTCTAGTTGAGTGCTTCGTGCTGGTTGCCACGCTCCTCGGAAACCTGTGCCCTGGCTTAGGATTGCTGACTGCTTGGTACATCTCTCTTCCAGAGGGTAGAGATGGCTGGGCTGGCGCTCAGCAGCAGAATAGAGACACCCTTCCTGGCCTGGAACCCCTGATGGCACTGCTGGGCACCCGCCAAAGCCTTCGTCTAATCTAGATTTCTGCACTACTCTTTAATCTCAAATTGCTGTAGCACAAGTAATCAGCACATTGGACAAGAGGTGTTCAGGTGCAGTCACGGGCTGTTTCAGGCTTTATGTTGAAGGCATCATCTAAACCTCTTGAAGTTTGAAGTACAGGTTGTTCCAGATGGCTTCCTCGGAGCCAGAGAGCGCTGCATCCTCCGTGTGCTCGCATGCTTTGTTAAAGACTTTGCTTCTACCAGGAAGGCTTTTACTTTTCGGTCCAGCAATACCGCTGTAACAGCAGAAACCCTCTTAATTGAGCAGCCAGGGGTGTTACAAAAGGGTTTGTGCAGAAGGCACTTCTGCCGGGGCCTTGACGTGATGTGACGGTAGGAATCTGCCATGGCAGTCACTTGACTTGACTCGACCAGCTTAAGGGTGTTTAATACCTTTCTGGCTTGCTGCTTTTTGCTAGTAATATGCTTCCTGTGTTTGCCTTCAAGTAGCTACAGGCTTTCAGTACCAGCGGGAAAACTGAAGCGCTGCGTTAATGAGAAATGACCGAAAGTCATTTGGGCAAGAGAGAATTTGAGATGGAAACCTACATCAAAGGAGAAGGTGTGGCTCGAGAGGCCCATCCTAGAGCCAACTGCAGAATCATTAATGGCTGGCTGGATGTTTGCAGGATCCGTGCAATTAGTGTTTAAAACTAGACTGAGTGTATGGATGAAAATGCCCGATTATGGATGTGCTGAGCCAGTTCTAAGCGTTGCTCGTTTCTCAGTCCAGCGCAGGCTTAGTGAAGCTGGTGGTGTCTTGCATGGACAAAACCTTGTGAGTTGTAGGGAATAGCAAAGGTGACGGCTGTGATGCTGGGAGGGGGATCCTGGTTTCCGTCAGGCTGCTCTGGATGGGTTTTTCTGCCCTGGGAATGAGCGGTGTTGCTGGGTGCTTCCTTCGGCTTTGCTGCAGAGCTGGGCTGCAGCTCCCCAGGCTGCTGGGTGGCTTGGGGGCTGCAGAGTGCAGTGCCCAAGCAAGCCATGGCTTCTGAATTTCTTTTTTTTTTTATTTTTTGAAGGATGCTCTTGTGTCTTGCAGGTATAGCAGGGAGCGTGGCCACGCTGCTGCACGACGCGGTGATGAATCCTGCAGAAGGTAATGCCTTGTGCTCGGCGCGGAGGTGCTGCACCCCTGGGAAGGCACTGAGGATACCCTGTGCCATCTTAACAGCTTAAGCCCTTTGTTTTAGTGACTCTGCCCAGCTTGTATTGAGCTCAGACAGGCCAGTGTAGAGGGATAAATTCTGCCTGACTGTTTTCCCTTGTTTGCCAGGGGGTTGCACAGCATCTGTGTGGCTCATTGTGATTTTTCCAGGAAAACTGTGTCACCTTTACTAACATGATGCTGTTACTACTCTGCTACTGCATCTTTACTGTTTTTTTCTGAAGTTTTGGGCCACCCAAACAAAGCTGAGCTTAGTCATGTTGTTAGACAAGTACAGCAGCCGGTGGGACTGTTGCGTAGCCTTCCCGGGTGGGTAGGGTCAGGCATGAAGAGGACTAGCAGTGAAATGCGGCTAAAATGAGGCTGGACTGCCAGCTGTGCAGTGTTCATGTATTGTGCTTCTGAGCTGGCCCAAACCCAGGTTTTTCTGAAGGAAAAAATACCTCCAGTGTTTAAAATCCTTTTAACTGTATCCTGATTAAATGAATTGGCCTTCCTTTTGCTTTAGTCAGTGGAAGTTGTTCCATTTCAGGGCTTGGGACGGTAGGCGAGGCCTGTTAGGCTTCCCAGATGATGTAGGGTGATTTGAGCACTTTCTGCCTTTGTCCTCTTGGTACGTCAGTGTTCCCACACAACAGCTCTGCATCCTCACAGAGGCACCTGAGGGTCCGTACCAGTCTGTCTTAATGCCTTTCTAGCTAGGAGTGAAAGTTCCTTAATGATGCTGGAGGAGAGGAGTGGGTTTAGCCCATGGAAGAGGAGAGCTGTTGGACCAGGGCTGAGCTCTGACCCGCTTCCCTCACTGGTTGTGTTGAGTTTTTTGGGGAGGGCACTGGGCAGGTTGGGGGAAGTGGAGGATTACTTTTTTTTTTTTTTTTTTCGGTAAAAGCCTGTCAATACGGAGCTCATTGCTACAGAAAGGCCTGGCTGATGTCTTTGGCCGTTTGGACTTGGAAGGGGGAGGTTGGGTCTGGATGGCAGGGACTGGGAGCAGGGTTTGGTCTGGGTGTTGTGGTGACCAGGAAAGATGTGCCTTAGCTAACAAGTCTTTATCTCCCCGTGTCTGTCCTGCCTGGTGCTGCCTGCCCTGCCTGGACCAGTGGTGAAGCAGCGGATGCAGATGTTCAACTCCCCCTACAAGTCCGTCCTGGCGTGCGTAAGGACAGTGCAGAAGACGGAGGGGTTCAGTGCCTTCTACCGCAGCTACACCACCCAGCTCACCATGAACGTCCCCTTCCAGGCCATTCACTTCATCACCTACGAATTCATGCAGGAGCAGATCAACCCGCACCGGGAGTATAACCCTCGGTCCCACATCATCTCCGGTGCCGTCGCAGGGGCCGTGGCCGCCGCCGCCACCACTCCTCTGGATGTCTGTAAGACCCTGCTCAACACCCAGGAGAACATGGCCTTGAGCTCTGTGAACATCAGCGGACATCTCTCGGGCATGGTGAACGCCTTCAAGACTGTCTATCAGCTGGGGGGCGTTTCGGGGTATTTCAGAGGGGTGCAGGCGCGTGTCATTTACCAGATGCCTTCAACAGCCATCGCCTGGTCAGTGTATGAATTCTTCAAGTACTTTCTCACAAAACACAAGCTGGAAAAAAGAACATCCTTGTGAAGGACTTACCCACGAGTGAATGCAAGCCTCCGTGTCCCCTCTGTGTGTGTCTGTGTGTGCCTGCAAGCCAGCCAGCTCTGGGTCTCTGCTAAGGAACATGCCAGGTTTCTGGTGGATTCACAGCTGACGGCCACTTCTCCCTCCCCAGGGAAGGAGGGATTAAAGTGGTCCTCAGTCACGTGTTCCCCTCCTTGCTTAAACAATGGAATAGTTTATAAAGACTTAGAATAATATATATATTTAATAACTTTATTTTGGAGAAGTGAAATTGCTAACTTGATATTTTTCTCTGGATAAGTTTGAAGATGTAGTTTACTCCTCACCAGAAGGCTTAGGTTGTACAGCCTAGGCTGGGGTTTTTTACAGCAAAGAAGCAAATTATCCTGACACAGAACTTACTTTTTATATAAATATAAAAGATGGATAATGTTTATCCTTTATTTTTCTATGTAGACATTTGGGGTTTTTTTTAAATACTATTACAGCTAGATGCTGAGCTGTTTAAAAAGGGCTAAAATCTTCCATCCTCTGTAAGGAAGACACAAAAGCATTTATTTTTATAGCCAGATTGGCTTTAATTGTACAGCATTTAGCCCCCAAATGGTGGCCTGGATTCTCCTGTGGGTGTCAAGGTACTTGCTAGCCCCTTGTGACTAGCGGGGGTGGGGGGAGAAGGAATAGGGACACCACTTTGGGAAACTGCAGGACACCGAGGAAGGGGCACCCCAGAATACCTGGTCACTTTGTGGGGGTGAGGGGGAAACTATTAATTCCATTTTTTTACGAGGAGTCTCTTAAAAAAAAAAAAAGTAGATTTTAAAGAATAGGGGTTTTTTTGCAAACACTTTTTTTAAAGGTACATTTTTATGGCATGTGATAGCTGAACAGCCTTCATCCTCCCTTAATTTATTCGGACTTTTTCGTTAAGGCCCTGATCCTGCTTGCAGGAGCGACCATGTGCATCTCGGTAGCTGGCGGGGGCGAAGCGGGGTGC